GTTGACTCAATTATTTGGTCGACATATCAACTAAATAGTGTAAAATGTCCCAATTCCCAACAGTAACCACGATCCAACAACAAGATTCTGTTCGGTCGTTGAGTTCCAAGCAGAACAGACTCGTGAAAAAGTAGTGGAAGCAAATATATATTTTTTCGTGGTTGAGGTGGAATTTATTGGGTCAAACTTTGATTTGGATAATTGCGACCATAAATTTAAAGTTATTTTGTTAGTATCTTTTATTCAAAATGAGTTATAATTACTATATACTTAATGACATATTTTAAATTTCATATATAAAAATTTTATTTCATAGTCCTTATTCATTTGAAAATTAAATTTTTTGGGACGGGTTTATCATAACTTTTTCTGATTTATTTGAAAATAAATATTTGATTAATTACTTTATAAAAACTTTGAGTGGTCTATCTTAAAATTATCTTATTAGCATATTTTATTCAAATCGATGTAATTTTTTTTAAAAAATTAATTTATATTGAGTGACGTATCTTTGAAAAAATGATTTGTATTTCATAAAATTCTCATTGGTTTGAAAGCTCAAAACTTTAAGGTTAGGTCTATGATAAATTTTTCTAATTTGTTTGAAAATAAATATTTGATTAATTATATTAAAAGATAAATTGTACAACAATTAAAGATACCTAATTGAAAAAGCTTTTATTGTCTATATATGTAAACTTAGGGTTTGTAAAGAGTGTTAAGGACTTTTACTATATTATTGGAGGAAGAATTTTATTATATAATTTTGTATAAATTAGTTTATTTTTAAAATATTGTAAATGGTGTTATTGAGAGTTTCGTTAATTGTCTTGATTGAAAATGTTAAATAATTGATGGTGATTACTGAAAGAAAGAATAGTTAAGATAATATTGTACGAGAAACACATACAATTAGCATGTGTAGTTAGATAGATGATTCATATATCTCTTCCGAATAATATTTAATAGTGAACTTTTATTTGAATAAATGAGTAAAAAAATAAGATCATTGACTTAAACATTATATGGTACAATTACTCTATCACAAATAACATGTGTGGGTCATAAAACTCGAGACCTCTGCTGCCTTCGTCTACCTCGGTTGCTGTTAGGAAATGAATCCACTTTTGAGTTGCACTATTATTATGTCTTCCAAAATGCTCAATAATTGTCCTCAAAGTCAACCGACCCTGTACTTTTTAAATTTATTTATGAACTTGCTCTTTAAAATTATACTTAACGCACTTTTATACGTAAAAGCAAACCTATCAAATTTTTCTTTGGCCTAAACAAAACTTGCACTCCTGTCATACTTGATAGTAATATAACCTGAAGTGAGGCTGACTTGCTTTTTTTATATTTGAAAATAAATGTTCCTTATTAAGGTTAATCTTCTTCCAACGAAGCTAGTTGGAAGGTGTCATGATCTTGAGAGGGATCTTAAATATAGATTGTACCAATATGATTTCGTTTTCAGTCAAGATTTTCCTTTTATATGGGAAGGTAACGTTCAGCCTCCCTTTCCCCCCACAACTCCCCACCCAGAGTTTTAAACACAAGCACGACGAGGATACATGAATCCTCCAATATTTGAAGGTTAAATTTTCCTATAATTTACACGTGATATGTTCAAGTATCATCATGTTCGGTGGATTGCTTTGTAGGCAATGAAGCACTGGCACCACTATGATAAAAACAAGGGTAAATTACAAATTTAATACCTAAACTATTATTTTTGTTTTGTTTTAGTACCTAGACTTTCATTTGTTTCAAAACTATACATAATGTTTACTTTTTGTTTCATTCTAGTATCATGCCTTTAAAACTTAATGGAGTTGCTGCATATGTTATTTTTCTATGAGTAAAGTACATCATTTTCATTACTTAACTATCCTCTAACTCCTATTTTGGTCACAAAAATTTAAAAAAATCAATTTAATTACTCAACTTTCAAATTGTTCATGTTTTAATCACTCTAATTTATTTTATTAATAATTTTTATGACATGACATTTATTATTATTATTTCAATATAAAAATAAATTTGAAAGTTAGAGTGATTAAATTAGGAGTAATTTAAAAGTTAAGTAATTAAATTGAAAAAAAAATAAACTTCAGCAAACGAAAAAAGAGTGAGAAGATAGTTGAGTGATGAATGATGTAATTTACCATTAAAAAAAGTGTCATGATGTTGTAACAGTTCCAATGAGTTTTTAACAACGAGGTACCAAAATGAAACAAAAGGTAAACGTAAGATAAGATTTTGAAACAAATAAAAGTTTAGGTACTAAAATAAAATAAAACTAATAATTTAGATACTAAACTTGTAGTTTAACCTAAAAAGTTAAGACTGAGGAAAACTTGGGAATGTCTGCTTAACTTTCATTGGTCAACAATGGTGGTTTGGTGCTAGCTGAACTGTTGAACTTTTTTTTTTATTTGAGAAGTTAAATATTAAAAAACAAATAACAAATAAATAATTATAACATATGAAAATTATTTGATTTTATTTGTGGAGTTAAAAAAACTTTTGCGAGTATAATAAATAATATGTAAAATTGTTATTATGATGATAAAAAAATGCAATGCCATAAAAAAATATAATGTTTCATTTATTTTTAGATTTTCAATATCACTACAAATGCATGATGACTTCTAGATGTTAAATTGAAAAATAAAATAAAAATCAACAACTTGATATATAACTATGTTTGATGTACTTGAAAGTCTAAATTTCCAACCACAACCTCTGAATTATTTATTTTTAAAATAACATTATGTTGTCCAAGATATAATAATATAATCGAATTATTTAACTCTATATCTAATTAGATTTGATTTACCATAGATTAAATTAATTCAAACAATATTCAATATGACTCGAATCAAACTTAAATAAAATATAATTAAAATTTGAAATGACCCACTCAAATCCGATCCAATTTTCATTTCACCCCTGAATATTATCAGACCATGTAATTATCTGATGTCACGGATGAAAATAGTACAATGCTGACCAATCAATATCTGTCTAAGGCCAACTTAGAATAATTCTGGCTTTTCTCAATAAATTCAATGCATGATATACATATAGATCAAGATACCACATTCATTTAAAATATAGTTTTTAAGGCTCCGAAACAGATAATATATCCATTAAATATCTCTACTTGATCATTCCTCTAACCATAAGAATTTATGTCTGAAACTTGTTTCATTTATATTTCCAGATTAATTAATGATGTCAACAGAACCTCTGTCTAAGCTATGGTTTCTCCTTTCACATTGGCAACCAACTTGGATTAATTTTATCCACAAGATTCTTCAATTAAATTTTGTCGTTACATAATCATGAACATAAAATATTTACTTAAAAACAAAGAACACGATAATTATGACAACAGGGAGGACAAAACGGTTCATTCAATAATTATTTTAATTGTAAATTAATTAAGTATGATTAAAGTGGAAGTTCGTTTAGAAAATGAATTGATCCCCTTGGTTTTTTTTTTTTTTGTCTTCATGGGAAGAGCATTTCGGTCCCGTGATGGTCTCACCTGCAGGGGAACTATCCGTCTCTCCTAATCTATATTTCATGTGACATTACAAGACAGGATTTCCGATACTCACATTGTTGAGTTAAGAAAAAATAAATATATTTTAAATATTTAAAGCTCATGGGTTAGGCTCAAATAATTATTTATATTTATTTTTAACGATCTTAGTAAGATGTATAGGTTACATTTACTCACTGTCAATACCCATATTTATATGAACAATAGATCAAATATCCTCATTCACGTCTCCACGATACTTAATACTAACTTGTGTGAAAGTCTATCTAAAAAGTCAACCTAAACCTAAAATATACTTTATCAATGCCAAAACATTTCCATCTCCCTCCCTTAAATAAGAACCTAAGTTAGGCATATTGTCAGTTTTTTTTCCACGTACATTTTTTGTTTTTAGCCATAATTTCTTAACCAAACGGTGTCAAAATAGCGTATTCTCAAATAAATTATTATTTTTAAATATCAATTCAATCATTATTAAAAGTAAATAATTATTTGATATGAATCAAACAATGCAGATATTTATTATGAACTTGATCCTTTTGATAAGACTTGCTTCATTCATAACATCAAATCTCAAACTTCAAACATTAATTAAATTTTAGTGTATTATCTAATTAGAGTTAATAATATTTATTTAATTATTTTTTTTAAAAATAAACATTTATAAGAATGGATCAAAAAGATGTAGAAACATACCTTTAAAATTTTTAATTCTTACTTAATTTAAATATTCTTAATTATTTATCTAATTTTTCACTCTAATTTCTTTTAATAATTATACATCTCTATATTTCAATATATTTACAAAATTTTATACCCTAATTCAGATCATACATCGGTTCTCCGGTTATTGAACTGAGCAAATTAGACCGTCATGTAAGTTCACCTAAAACTCAATAACCAGAAATTAACTACCCTGGGTAAGGGTAACGTGTCAACTAAAGGCTCAGTTCCTTTTGAATATCCATCCAATGGCAATCTACCACGTTGCATATTAGCCACGTAGTCCATAAAACTAGTCGTCTCCTTTTAAAGTAGGGATATGAAAAAATAAAACAGAAATGAACTGCCCTGCGAATTGTGTAACGTGTCAATCAGAGGCTCCTTCATTTGGATATCCAATGAAACTCAAACAAGTTGCATATGCCACGTAATCCACTAAAGGTAGTCGTCCTGGTAAAGTAAAATTGGAAAACATAAATAATAAACGTAAACTTCCAGGATTTTGCCTCTCCTCCCCTCGGTTCTTAAAACAACAAGATCTGCACGAGGTGTGCAATCAAGGAATTTACAACAACAATAAATAATATAAATTCATGCGGGTCCCTTCACCCACTAAACTAAGTCAAAAACAGTCTCCTTGCATCATTTATCTTCTATAAAAGGCAGGCCGGGTTCGGTTCATCATCACTCTCTCACTGCCCTCCTATCTTCTTCTTCATCACTGACCAAAAACACACACGATTTCATGGGCAACGCTGATTTTGTGTACCCTTCCACGAGTGACCATCAGCAACAATGCACTCATCGAGTGGCGATTCCTCCGGCGCAGCCATTTTTCACGTCGCTCAAGAACTCGCTCAAGGAGACTTTTTTCCCGGATGACCCACTCAGACAATTCAAGAACAAAACACCCTCCAAGAAATTTATTCTCGGCCTGCAATATCTTTTTCCCATTCTCGAGTGGGCTCCTCGTTACAGCTTGCAGTTCTTGAAATCTGATCTCATCTCCGGGATCACCATCGCCAGCCTTGCAATCCCTCAGGGTATAAGCTATGCTAAGCTTGCTAACTTGCCTCCCATTCTCGGCCTCTGTAAGTAAATAACTTGATTAGATTAATTAAATTTCTTCTTCAAGGTTACTGATTGTAACCCTTTTTTGAAAACGAAGATTCAAGCTTTATTCCACCACTGGTTTATGCGATGATGGGGAGCTCAAGAGATTTAGCAGTAGGGACTGTTGCTGTTGCATCACTTCTCACTGCTTCCATGTTGGGGAAGGAAGTGAATGCAGCTGAGCATCCCACGCTTTACCTTCACCTCGCTTTCACTGCAACCTTTTTTGCCGGACTACTGCAAGCTTCATTAGGCCTTTTACGGTAAAAATAGTTAATTAGTAGTTCAACTAATCTTTTCCTCTTCATGGTAAATTAATAATATTGTTGATGCAGTCTAGGGTTTATTGTGGATTTTCTTTCACATGCGACGATAGTAGGGTTCATGGCAGGGGCAGCCACTGTTGTGATATTGCAGCAGCTAAAGGGAATCCTAGGACTTGATCACTTTACTAAATCTACCGACATTATCTCCGTTTTGCACTCTGTCTTCAGTCAAACTCATGAGGTTATCTTCCTTCTTTCCTTTTAAAGGTTAAAACTTGATCATTAATGAAATGTATTTTTCTATTACTTGAAATATATAATATGTGACAATATGAAGTTACTTATATTGTTGCTATTAGTCACGGGTGCTTCAATATTTATAATTAATACAGTTATAAAAACAAATTATTCTTGCATGGCGTATATAGTTGTCTGACAATCGTAAAATGTGATATTTGACAGTGGAGTTGGGAGAGTGGTGTTTTGGGAGTTGGTTTCCTTTTCTTCCTCCTCGTCACCAGATATTTCGTAAGTAGATCTAACATTAATTTAATGTTTATTTTGGATAATTAGATATAATTTTCATTAAAATATTAACCATTGTATGATAAATTTGACTAGATTAATGATAAAAGTAATGTAACTATAATATTAAAAGTGCATGTTTGATTAATCAAAAAGATAAGTCTTTAATTTCATCACTCAACTTTCTTTTCACTTCTATTTTGATTACTAAAACTTTTAAAATCTTCAATTTACTCATTTAACTTTCGATTCTATCCTACTTTGGTTGCTTTATCGTTAAATACTTAATGGTGTTATAGCAATATATTTTTCTTTTTAAAATTATGAAAACCCCCTAAATTTTATTATTCTTCTTCTTCTCCTTTTTTTTCTTAAAAATCTCCGCAGTTTTGATTTTGTTTTGATATCGATGATAGGTATTATTCTATATTGATCGGATGATAGGTATTACAGATCACAGTGGTTTGAAATTTTATGAGTTTAGGTTATAGTGTTGAGTTCTAAAATGATTTAGGTAAAATCTAGATTGATAGAGTAATAAGAGACAATTAGTGAGTTCACAAATATCTTGAATTGTCAAAGAAGAGTACGTCAAAGAATGATAATTGCAACGTCGATGTAAGATATAGATGAAATTGTAAAACTTTCATATTTGAAGGAAGAAGATAAAAAAAACATAGATGACACACAAATTCCATGTTAATAAAAAAAATTCACATTAGCACACATGGATGCTATGCCATTCTTTCATTTATGAATTAACACTTGAGTGACCAAAATATAAATAAATCAAAAGTTGAATGATGAAATTTATAATTTATACTTTATAAAATCAACTATCTTTTATAACTTTTCGGGAAGTAAAATAATGAACTTTCCAAGAAAAGGGCTATCATTTTACATAATAGAATAATAATAAGGAAAAGGCTTCCCTTATTGGGTGGTTGTGGTCTTAAAATAGTATTTGCTAATTGCATAACTGTCCCTTTGAAAAAAACCTCTTTTTTTTAATAGTAAACATATGCTTTACAAAGTCTTGAATTAGCCTCTAAGCCTGCTCCCACTGCATGTTCCCTCTTTAAGTACGTTATTTGCAGTAAAAGGGAATATAATGTATTTGTTGGATACAAACAGAGCAAGAGACGACCCAAATTCTTTTGGATATCAGCAATGGCGCCTTTGACATCAGTCATCCTCGGAAGTCTTCTCGTTTATCTTACGCATGCCGAGAAACACGGTGTTCAAATTGTAAGCACTAAATATGCCTTTTTTTTTCTTAAACTTTTCAACTTCAATCCACACCTTAATAATAAAAAATGAATAAAGCTCAAATTCTGGTTTTCATCCTTTTATTGTGCTCAAATTCAGAATTCAGTCCCTATAATGGTTGTCAAGGCTTGATGTCTAGTGTGTCCCCACCAATAATGAGACCACTGTACCCTGCTGGTATATTGGATAGGTCCCAATGCATGCACATTATCTCTTGCTATCTTGGGTGGTTCAAGTATTTATTGTCACATTATTTCGTTTTTGTTTTTTATTATTTATGTCACGTCTGATGAAACAAGAAGACAGAGTTTGTGATTTATTAAAATTGTGATGTTGTGTGATAATGACAGATAGGAAACCTGAAGAAAGGGTTGAATCCACTGTCTTTTGGGGATTTGGTGTTTACGACTCCGTATATGACCACGGCTCTGAAAACTGGCATGGTCACCGGCATCATTGCTCTTGCCGTAAGCTGCCTTCCAACTCTCTCTTTCAGTACTATTGCCAAAACTTGAGCTTTAAGTCCCTGTACTTTGAAAAAATTTGAGCTTTAGTCCATGCCTGTTGGTCATTGTGAATTCATACAGGAAGGAATAGCTGTGGGGAGAAGCTTTGCAATGTTCAAGCACTACAATATTGATGGAAACAAAGAAATGATAGCCATCGGTTCCATGAACATCGTTGGTTCTTGTTTTTCTTGCTATCTCACTACTGGTAAAGTTTTCTTCTTCTTTTATTCAAGTGATTTATAGTTCATTGATTCAATTCAATTAACTAATCGTGCCGTTGCCGTTGTCGACGTGTATATTTCAGGGCCATTTTCACGATCCGCTGTTAATTTCAACGCCGGATGCAAAACGGCGATGTCCAACGTTATCATGGCCGTTGCAGTTATGTTCACGTTGCTGTTCTTGACACCATTGTTCCATTACACTCCCCTCGTAGTGTTGTCCGCGATCATAATTTCCGCCATGCTCGGCCTCGTCGATTACGATGCCGCCATTCATCTCTGGAACGTCGATAAATTCGATTTCCTCGTGTGCATCAGTGCATATATCGGCGTCATTTTCGCAAGCGTCGAGGTCGGCTTAGTCATCGCGGTTGCAATTTCTGTGCTGAGGCTGCTGCTATTTGTCGCAAGGCCGAGGACTTTTATTCTGGGAAACCTCCCGAACTCAACCATCTACAGAAACGTCGAGCAATATCCGAATGCGAATAACGTTCACGGTGTTCTCATACTCGAGATAGATGCTCCAATTTACTTTGCCAACTCAAGTTACTTAAGAGAAAGGTACTGGAATTTCATTGCTTCATTATCAGACAGCAAAATTCGATCAAATCGAATCCAACTCATGTCTGGTCTTATCAGGATAACAAGGTGGATCGATGAAGAAGAAGACAAGCTGAAATCAACAGGGAAAACCAGCTTACAGTATGTCATACTCGACATGACAGCTGTTGGTAACATTGACACCAGTGGAATAAGTATGCTTGAAGAGGTCAAGAAAACTACTGACAGAAGGGAGATCAAGGTAATTCTTTTTCCCTGCAATTAGTTTTGAATGTATATTGTCACTAGAAAACATGTTCTGATTTGTATATACATGTACTGTTTTAGCTTGTATTGGCCAACCCTGGGGCCGAAGTGATGAAGAAGCTTAATAAGTCGAAGTTCCTGGAAAATATAGGTCAGGAATGGGTCTATTTGACGGTCGGTGAAGCGGTCAATGCCTGCAATTACAAGCTTCATACATGCAAACCGGCGGAATCGCAACCATGGAACAATGTCTAAGCTTAACTAGTACCTTTATGCAACTGAGAATCAGGGTGCATAGCCTGTTTAGGCTGAATCAACAGGGAATTAACCATATTAAAAGCCTAGATTTTTGTTTCTCTTTTTAACAATTTGCAAATTGTACGATGATGCATTTCATGGTGATAGAACTTTTAACAAGGAAAAAAAACTGAAATGCGAAACGATCTGGTGTTTGATATGGAAAACGAACTATGATTGACTGTGGACAGCAGAAAAAAAAAATACAATGTCAAAAATTAATTTGTTTAAAAGTCTAGTGACATAATCGATATACCTCTAAAATTAAAGGTCTAAAATATATCTTTTTGAACTATCTAAAATGATACAATTTTGAACATCAATAATCGTCAGCAAAACGTCATTGTTTTATCCATTTCATCATTGTGACATAAAGGTCTGTCTAAATATATTCTGTCATTAAAATTTAATAAATCATTGATATAATTAAAGTTAAAATTAAAATTTAATATTATGATTAAAAAATAAAAGTTTAATAATATAAATGATATATTAATTAAAATTAAGTGGGATTTAGTGTAATTTATACTAGATTTTAAAAGAACGTAAATATAAGTCAAATCAAAGCAAGTATACATTGGTCTCCTTCTTCAAGTTCTGGAACTCTCCGCTACTGTAATTGTGCAAACAATGTCATCATCGGCCATGGCTAAGCTAAGAACATATCGCTTCCTTTTGTCATCCAAACATTATTCCACTCTGTCTTCCTTCATTCGAAACCCCAATTTCTTCTCACTTGAAAAGTTTCTTTCCTCATCTCTCAACAACTCAAACTCCCACATTCCTTCTTCATATGTTCAACCCACTGCAAGCCATAATAGATTTACAATACTCGCATCGCCCTTCTCCTCCTCTTCCTCAGCCAAGAATATCAACACAAAGGTCAACTTTTCACTCCCAGATTCAGAATCCGAAGAAGAAGAACAAGTTTCCAATAAAGAATTGGACAAATCCAATCTCCCTCCTCCGTACGATCCCTTCAACAAGAATCCGGTCATCGAAGAACCCCAAGACCCCCAAAACCTGCAAGAAGTGTTCCATAACATGCGAGGCGATGGCCTGATCAACAATGCCGTTAAGATGTTCGACGCATTGTCAAAAGACGGGCTGACCCATGAAGCGTTGGAGCTTTTTGCTCAGTTTAAAGAAAAAGGCCAAATTCCGACGTGGTTGCTCATACTGCTGTTATCGAAGCTTATGCCAACGCGGGTCGGAGTAAAGAAGCTCTCAAGAGTTTTATGAGGATGTTGGCATCTGGAGTTGCACCCAATGCTTACACTTACACTGTTCTCATCAAAGGTCTCGCCGTTACGGATGCTAAACATCTGGTCGATGCAAAAAAGTATTTGATGGAGATGATGGGGAAAGGGATGAAGCCTAATGCGAATACTTACACGGCGGTTTTTGAAGCGTTCGCGAGGGTGGAGAAGGTGGAGGAGGCCAAAGAATTCTTGGGGCAGATGAAGGAGAAGGGATTTGTGCCTGATGAGAAGGACGTGAGAGCGGCCCTTACTGATAAGAGAGGACCGGTATTTCGAAGCGTTATGAGTATTCTCTTTGATAAATGATTCTAAGTCGATGTACAAGTTTATTGGCATTATGCTCTTGAATTTGCTGCTGCTTGTTTTTATGTCCTTCAATTTTGTTATTTAAAACGTAATTAAATTATAATAACATCTTCTCCACTTCTTTTCTATCAGCCGTTCAGTCATCACCGGTCACTGTTTGCATCTCCGGCCACCGGTGGCCGCCTTTTCACAAGATACATGGACAATGCAACTAAAGTCTCGGTCCTGAAAACTACAATGATTAGTACTTGCCTCAATCTCCTTTAGTTGGGGGTTTCGCGCATGCACAAAAGGGTGCTTTCTTCCTCCTCTGGTTCTGGCTCTGGCTTTTTTCTTACCCCACCGTAAATATGGTCCCGCAACAAAACTCTTGTTTTACGCTCCGTGATTCTTGTTGGTCTTTTGCTTTCTTTTGCATCAAGTTTCAGTAATAGAAACTGTATTTTCTGCACTTCCAATTGCAACCGCCCTATCTTCTCCGACCCTCTTCGAGCTTGTTCTGCTACTCTCCGTCTCCTAAAAGAACTACTCTCATCTGATTCTAGTGCAGGTTTCCCACCAAGAGACCGAGAACGGTCATCGACGTGTGTCACCAGTTTGCGATTCACATCAAATAGCTGAATGATGGCTTCCTCAGCTTCTTCTAGCTGCTGTTTAACTGTACTATACTCGATTCCTTTCCCCTTTTTTCCCGTCTCGGTTATCTCCACCTTCCTCTTTAGATCCTGCACGGTTATTTGAAGGTTAGCCAACTTTTGTGCGTCGGAATCGAGTCTTTCTGAAACCTTCCTCTTGCTTCCTTCTTGGGGAGGCTCGGTAAATCTCTTGGAGCTCTCTTTATCAACACCCAACTCCTTCACTAGAGATTCTGTAGAGAGAGTTTTGCCCCTACGTGACTTCGATGTACCAATCCGTTGATTGCCGGTTGAAGCAGCAACCATCTTCTGGGCCTTGCCAACTTTCAGGGCGATGTTACCGTCATGGTCAGGGGTTTCCCACAACTCAAGCATCTGATTATCAAGCTCTGAAGTTTCTCTCCTGCTTAACCCATAGGAAACTCGGATGTCTGATCAAGCAGAATGTCTTTCATCATCATCTCACTGTCTTCTTCAGAAATATCAGGTGTTGGTCTCTGAATTTTGACACCGTTGCCAAGTCCATGACCAAGTTTCCCCCCATCACGTCGAGCATTCACATGCATCTTTGTTCTAACTCGTTCTCGACGTGAGCTGCTTCCAAATCTTAACTCTTCTATCTGTCTCATAGAAGTCTCTAGTTTGGAATTGAGATGTAAGTTCTCCGTCGTTGCAAGCTTCTGCATTTCCACCACTGCTTTTTCAATAGATTTAATTCTCTTATGGATACCCTGCAAGTCAGGAAAACCGTCTGGAACTGATGCAATTTGCCCTACACCTGTTTGTTGACAGTTTTCAGCATGCAATTCGGTCCCCAAATCGGCATCCTGGAAAACAAACCCATAAACGATACAAATCCTGAAACTACACAGTGCATTAACAAACCCTGAAAGTAAAGAGCAAAGGCACATAAAATATATTTCTCATTGAAACAAGAAATCGTGTAATAGATCAGACTAGTAAATGTATACTGGTGCAAATTCGCGAATCCGAATCCGAATCAGCAATATCAATTGCTTGTGTAAATAGACCACATTGACTTGGTTTATTGAAATATAAAATGCTGACATTGTGTCACTCGTAAGCAAAAAAAAAAAAAAAAAGAGAGATTACCTTTGCTGCGTGATTATGATAAGTGGGAAATTTAGGAGACAAGCGAGTTCGACTCCCCAACGATGTCACACTCTTCATGAGAGAAACAACAGCTGGAACATATGCTGCCAACTGAGCTTTAAGTTCTCCATTTTCGTGTTTCAAGATTCTAGCACTTCTTTCCAGCTCTTCTACCTCCATAGATTTGGAACTACTTCTTCTTTCAAGGACTTCACAATCCTTACTCACCTCACGAGCAGTCTCTTCAAGCAATGCTGCTTGGACAGCAGAAATTTGTAGCTCGCCAGACAATGCAGCAGCCTTGTTTTCCAAAAGCTCGACCTCATTTCTTCTCTTTTGTAGTTCAACATTCGATTTGGCCAATTCAACCTCAAGTTTCTGATGAGCCGGACGAATGCTTTCAGTTTCCTTTCTTTGATGATCATAGTCTCTGGACACAGTTTCCGAATTTGCTTCTTTTGATCTTCATCTATCAGTATGACCTCCTCATATTTAGTCGTCAGATCCTCTATAAATTCATGTAATTGGGCTCTCTCCTCTTGACTTTCCATGAGCATCCGTTTTGCTTCCAAGTTCCAAAAGAACAATCTCCTTCTGGCCCGACAGGTCCTTCCCCTTTGAAACTTCATCATTTAACCGATCATCAACAGCCCCAACTGAAACCAGCTCATTCTCCAACTTTCTCATCGAACCTTTGAGATGTGAGTTTTCCATTTTCATATCATCAAACTTTCTCTCCATTATTCTCAGTTTTCCCTCGAGATCATTACTGAGACATTTGAATTTATCCAGATGGGTGGTGAGATGCTTTATTTCCTCAAAGTTATCGGCAATAATATATTTGAGTACAAGAGAAGTGCTACTTTGAGATATTGCTTCGGCAAAGAAAGCATAGTTTTCCTCTTCTAGAATATGTTTCTCCTTGCCCAATTTTAAAAGTTCCTTCATCAAAGACGTTTTCTCATCCACCACCTTGTAATTATCCGCCAACAAACTCTGATATTCCCTTTGCAAGACTAACAGTTGTTCACAAACACTTCCTACTTCATTCTGTAAAACTTCTTCTCTTTGGCCTCCCTCTATCACTTTTGATTCCAGTTCTTCATTCATATCCACTAGTTTTTCAGTTCTTTTCCGCAGCACTGAAAACTGCTTAAACCGTACGTTCAACTCCCGGGGCAGTGAATTCTTCTCTTTACCAAGATTTTCTGCCTCTAGTTTCAGTTGCCCCAGCAGTGCAATAAGAACTGAATTCTCAATCAAGGATTACTGATTTTCATCCAGAGACTTTAGAAGTGAATTTTGCATATCCCGAAATCTTCCAAATACACAGTCAAGAACTGATTGATTTTGTTTGATCATATCATAACCATAGATAGCATCAATCTCAAGAGTCCTCACCTGATAAAGTCCCATCCTTTGTATTGTAATTTTATCAAATAAGGATTTTATCTCCGCCTGCTTTCTGGAATTTCCAAGCTCCAACTCATTGATACGTTTTTCTGAGAATATGGTGGCTTCCAAGAGTTTCCTACACTCAAGTGATAGGGATAAATTCTTCTCTTCGAGATCTTGTGCACATTTCTGCAAGATAAAATTTCCTATCTGAGCTTTCGTTGCCTTGTCCAGTTCCTCTTCATATTCTTTCTTCCTGCAAAGATTTTCTACTTGTAGAAAATGAATTTGAGATTCCATAGCAGTTATTCGGGTTTCATTCAACTGCACAAAGCTAACATGCTCTGCCTTTTCAGCCTCTAGCAACTTTTGTAGCTCTTCCACTTCACAAAATGTTGATTCTCTGTCTT